GTGTTGGACGGAAAGGTCCCCTCATCAAACACGAGGTGTCTCTGAAATCCTAATGAAGCCAGAAAATAAAATTAGTCCCTGAAACTCATTTATTACATGTAACATGAAATCTGAATCTTTTTTWAAAGTGTGTTTTGTTTGTAAAGCGTTGATTTACAGGGAAAAAACAACACTTAGTGGTGAAGACTGACTTGAATTTCAGTCGGTTAAAAGATGAACTGTTGCTACAGCGTCGGGTGTTTAAAGTAGTGGAGGAAACATTTGGAAGAACTCAAACCTGAAAGAAGAAAACTAGAAAGACAGATTCAGATTAAAGAAGCATCCCAAATAAACTGAAAGTGTGATCCTGTTGAAACTGTTGCATCTCATTGGTTTTCAATWGTTTCAAAAACTGGGATTTCAAAACTAGAAGGAAGGATCGTCTTTAAATATTTAAAAATGTCTGTTTTTAAAAGACCAAAGCAAAGAGGGATGTGGGATCTCTGTGGGATTTGTACAGAGGCTGTTTGGTGACATTGGATTTAAAAAAAGTATCCTGTGGCCACACGATAATTGTGTGATTGTGATAATTATTGTGACCACGGAATAATTATTGCATTTATTACTATGCAGAGACTGTTGATTATTTACATCAGGGGTTCTCAAACTTTTTGGGTCTGGGGACCCCTTACAAAGGCAAAAAGATTCCAGGGACCCCCCTCAAAAAACCCCATGCTGTTAATGTAAAATAATTTACTGTTATTTTAACCTCTAAATGTCATGGTAATAATATTTTGTTTGGTTTAGTATGTTTGTTTTACTAGTGCATTATTCCCCACATGCATTTTTTTGAAATAAAAAACAAATGAGCAATTTCTTGAAATTTTTTGAGGACCCCCAAGAAATGACTCACGGGCCCCTGGGGGTCCTGGGACCTCAGTTTGAGAACCTCTGGTTTACATGGGCAAGTTTGAATTTATTTTATTTTATTTTAATACAGGAAGGAATGAAAGGAGTCTATGTTAGGTGTAAATTTATTCTCAGCATTATATGTTGCAGCTATAAGACACACASGGGACAACTGGAGTTGTATTTGTCCAAAACGCTTTTGTTTTGTTTTTTTAGGTGAACACTCAAAACAGTTTCCTCTAACACAACTAAGGCTACGTTCACACTGCAGTTCTTAACACTCTCTGGCTTTATTTTTTTAAAGTCCCATTTTTTTGGCGAAAACAATCACATAACATTTTAAATGCAACCTCCACCAGACTCCAGTGTGAACTCTACACTGCACTGGTGTCAGCTGCTTGTTTACATAGTTAGCTGGACGTTAATATCAGCTGTTTTGGCAGATTCTCAGTCATCCAGGACGTGGAAAATTAAAAGTAAAAAGACTAAGCAACTGSACTTCAGATATATTCAGATATATATCCGAATCAGTTCCACCTACTGAAAAGGCCCGGGTCGGATTTGAAAAATCTGATTTCTCGCGTTCAAAAAGGGTCATATCTGGTTTGGGTCACATTTTCCTGCAYCGTGAACGTAGCCTAAGGAGTGAAAGGAGTCGGAGTTGTGTTGTGTTCAGGAACYCAGCCAAAAATCTGTTTTCCGACACATGCTTGGGGCATTCATTGTCATCTCAAATTATAAAAGATGAATGGTTTATTGAAAAGTTAGCACGCTGTACACACTGCTCAGAAATTTTAATCCAATGTCTCCGGACACCATGCCTGTTTAAAGGCACAGTGTGTGGGATTTTTTCAATTCTTTGAGCCGAAATTGAGATAATCACTAATGACAATAATAAAAAACATGTCTAATCATTGCAGACAAAGACCTTGTTTTATTATTTTTACCTTATAAAAAGCTGTTTATATCTCCATGGTTGCGGGTCGCCACTACAGGCAGCCGCCATCTTGTCTACGAAGGCTCATGAAGGACAAACTGCGGTGGCGGCATCAAAAACGGTTTTAGTTGTAATACTATAAATGTAATATTTGTTGTCTGTCATTGTAGCTGGGATAATTTTACTTATTAAAGCTCATAATCTTACCACTTGAAACACCACTAGCCCTGAAGCTGCTGGTAGACATCGCGGTTGGAATTATCAAAGGTTTTTGACACCTGAGAGACACCGTAGCAACTCCTTTGTGTTTGGAAGCGGGGGGTGGGGGTGGGGGGAGGACCAGGGAGGATGATTCAACCTCTCAATCACTAGATGTCGCTGAAAACAACAAATCCTACACACTGCGCCTTTAAATAAAAGTTATTAAAAGTGTGTGCTGTGGAAATTAGTTGATTAATATCATTCTAATGATTCTTTAAACCAAAGCTTTCGACTGTACTGACCAAACATCTCCAACGATTCAATCAAAGATCCAGACTTTAACAGGAAAAAAAACAAGAAACATTTGAAGAAACCTCTAAAAGTTTCAGCTGAGATCATTATCGCTCATCATGAATTCATCTCAGCTTTYTGTTTTTTACAAGCTTCATCCAGCCCCCCTGCAGAGCTGGATTTAACCAGCATCATTGTGTTTTATCAGAGTTAATAATCAGCTGACCYTCTTCAAAGTTTTGCAAAGTACAAGACGTTCAGTTAACTTTCGCTGCAAAAAGCAAGTTTGAATAAAACAAGAACCGTACAAAGCTCAACTTTTAATAAAGGGAGCTTGTCCAGCCGGGTTTTCACCCTGTCAGCCCAACCAAATTAACACCATTTCTSAAAAAAAAAAAGTGCACCATCACACTTTTAGATCCATGAAGCTAATCAGTGAAGCAGTGGGGAGCTGAGAGAAGGGGCAGTAATTCCAAACCCGCCACAATTAGCATCCGTCGAGCTTCCACCAAGTTGTGGCGCACGTGGAGCCGTCTTGATTATGCAAGCCGGTGATGTGAGAGCCGTGTTGTTTTATAGCTCTCATTAACGGCCGGTCGTTACCTCTGATCAGAGCRGAATGGATCTCCTGAGCGGGGGCCGCCCGCCCAGCTGTAAGAATATGACTGCCATCAGGAAAAAATACAAGCAAGCGCCAACTCCGGCTGTCAAATGACCCAGATGAGGGAGAGAGAAGAGCCTTRACGGAAACTGTAATTACTTCTCGTGACGCCTGATTTCCTCACAGTAACCAAAGTCTGGGGTAACGTCTTAGACTTCTCCTCCAAATCAGAAGCCTCCATCCGTCCAGGATGATCGCTGGCAGAAAACTGGAACTAATTATGAACCAGTATTTCAAGTGAGTGAGGACACATGTCAGAGATGTGTTGACAGTTTTTTGAAGGTGTCGACAGCTTCACATGAGATCTTGTTCCACGTCAAGCTCTTGGCCGCTTCATGAATATGACTCCCACTCTGAAGAAATGACTAATTGCTTGACATTTCAGCMAACTTTGGAAGTTTGTTGAAGAACTTTGGGTTACACGCGTCTTTACTGTTGAGAGGCTGCTTGTCAAATCTACTAAAATCATCCCATTCACACTTGTGGTCTGATCAGAAACATCTTGTTTGCAGATGGTTTGGGAGAACGGCTGCGTGGTCATCGTCATGCTGACGCCGCTCGTGGAAAACGGAGTGAAGCAGTGCTACCATTACTGGCCCGATGAAGGGTCCAACCTGTACCACATCTACGAGGTCTGAAGGACTCACCGCTGACTCTGAAACGTTTGTCTTTTGTTAAATCMCTCAGACCGCTCGTCCTCTCCCGACAGGTGAACCTCGTATCTGAACACATCTGGTGTGARGACTTCCTGGTTCGCAGCTTCTACCTGAAGAACATGCAGACCAACGAGACCCGGACRGTCACTCAGTTCCACTTCCTGACCTGGCTCAACAAGAGCGTCCCGGAGACCAGCCGGARGCTCCTGGACTTCCGCAGGTAGACACTTCTTCACAGATTTTCCTTTTTTTTTAAATCACTAAATTGTTGAAAGCTAGTTCCATCTCCAACTATTGTTATATTGATTAAAAAACAATCAGTTGAAGCATCGCTGATCCTTCACTGACGTTTTACCACAAATATTCTTTAAAGGGGACATATCTGCAAAATCCACTTTTATAGTTGTTACGTACATTGTGTTGTGGAGTTTGAGTCTCTTGGAGGCAGAAAAGTAGAATTTAGACTTTCCTGGTTCTGCAGAGATATCTTTATTTTCTGTTTGGGTCAGATTTTTCAGCTTGTTCAGTTTTTTAAATTTTCTATAATGTGTCTGAACTATTACGTCAAATTACCATACGGTCTGGACTGACTTACTACCATTTCCTTGTCTTAATTCTCCTCTGGTTCTGGGTCAGCCTCTAGTTCTGGGTCAGACTCTGGCTCCAACATGTAAGGCTGTTTGAACYAGTCTTCTGTTGCTGACATCTTTTAATTAAATTGTAAATAAAATGTTTCTGCATTGCTAGAAAATGCAACCCCCCTCTCTCAAACCTAGGCTGGATTTTTGAGCGCAGATTCACTGAGAAACTTGCTGTTTCAGCAACATTTAATTTAAAAACTGTACTTTTGAGATTAAACAATTGTTCATAATTAATTTAAATAAATTACAAGTCTAAAGGGGCATAGACATTTCTCTTTTTTGTGTCGAAAAAATGTCGAAAAAGTATCGAACCGAATGGTGAATTTTCTGTAGAAAACTGCAAACTGTAACTTTATAAAACCTGCATTAAAACGCATAAAAGAAAAAAGTTTTGATCATGAAGKAAACAGAGGAATATCTGTGTTTAAACCTTGCAGCTCGTTTTCTTTCTGTTTGAGTTCAGGATGTATTGAGGGAATTCAGCTCCTTTATCTCATGCTCTCCTCTAAGT